GTTAGATTACCAGTAAAGTTTTTTGCAATACGTTTTCTTGGTTTATCAATGTATAGAAATGAATACGGTTTTTTAGTTGCTGTGTGGTAATCTTCTTTACTTACTCCCAACTCAGATGATATTCTGTTTGCTTCCCTTGATGATGGAAATTCGTATAAACAGTAATGAGAACAATTCAGCCGAATGTCCTTTGGTGTCTTGTAAAACGATTGACTGAGGTACACCACCGAACAATTCTTATGTCGTCCTTGAATAAAATAATCAATCAGTTGTCTCTGGTTTTTATCACAAACATAGTCATCGAATATCACAAGTTTTTGATTGTCTTCGTAATCCATTTCTGTCACTGGGATTATTTCGTCATTACTCACATGAAGTATTTCATATCCAAGTTTATGACTTAACTCCATCATTTTTTGAATTAGCTTTTGATACTTATCCTGTTCTAAATTACGCGCGTAAAGATAAATTTCATCATAGTACAACAGTGGTTTAATTAACATATGATACAACAGATTAGTTTTACCACTTCCACTGTTTCCACAGATTAACATCCGAAATGTATCTGAAGGCATGTAAGGAAATAATTGTTTATATTTTTTATCTGGGTTGTCTCCACTATCATAGTTTGGTATTTCCATTTTATCTAATATGTACATTAAATAAAATGAATGTTGAAGAATACAAAAAACTTGCAAGAAATAAAATTGATGCGACAATCAGAGTTTAAAATGAAACTTGACCCTGATTTGGGTAGATATACAAGACAACATATTTATGGAGAGGGAATGATGGATTCGTTTAAATCGTTTGGTAAAAAAATATTTGGAAAGACAATGAAAAAAGCTGCTAAAAAGAGTGGTGAAAAAGTACTAACAATGACTGCAACAAAAACTGGTGAACATGCTGGTAAAAAGGCTGGTGATAAGATAGTTCAAATGTTATCAAAAGAAAAGGCTGCACCCACCAAAAAACGTTCTAATAAAAAAGTTACTTTTAATAAAAATGACGAAACAATAAGTCAACAAGAGATAGATCAAATGTTAAATAACCTTCTTGGTGGAGGTTCAACACAAAGGAGAAAAATTATATAATTATTAAAATAAAATGAACTCTTTTAGAAATCCAAAATATTTAGAAAGATGCGAGGATGTTGTTTATGACCTGGAACAGGCTCTAGATACAGCCCCAGCAAATGACGAGCACCAAACTAAAACAGGACATAGATTTGTTACTGATAACACAGGAGAAACTACTCCTTTTGATTGGTATAACGCAAGGCTGTCAATGGATTTTAAAGTAAATAAACTGGCAGATGGAGGAAATATTGCGATTGCTGACCATAATGGAATTGTAAATGGTAGTAACTCCTTTATACAAAAATTAAGTATCCTGGCAAATGGTCGTCGAGTTTATGATTGTAATTATGCAAATCATGTTGTAAATATTAAAAATCTTCTTGAGTATAATCGTTCATATGCTAAGAGTGTAGCTACAAACGAATTTTATTTTCTTGATACATCAAGATCTGCAGAGGAAAGACCTGCTCAAGCAACTTATAATAAAGGTTTTCATGCAAGGAAATTATTATTAGGTGTTTCAGCCACAGTAAACTGTGAAATTCCTCTTAATAGATATTCTTTCTTTGAAGCATTGGAAGACAAATTACTTCCAAATACAAAAATTGAGCTTAATATCGAGATTGAAAAAGATGCAAATTTAATTTTTCAAGGAGCTGATGATTGTAGAGTTATTATAACAAGACTACAACTTTTTGTACCAAAACTTACTTTTAATTCGGAAGGGCAAAAGTTGTACATGGAAAATTATCTTAAACCTTACAAATGGACATATTTAAATGAAGTAGTTGAAAGATCAAATAATACACAGCAACAGACAGGACATTTTAGAATTACAAATGCTATTTCAAAGCCAAGACATGTATTTGTTTTTGGAATTAACACAGCTAATATTGATTCACAAACAGCAAATCCATTTTTATACAATACTTTTAATCTGCCAAATACTGCTAATATATCAAGATGTTACCTGGAAGTTGCAAATGGAAACGAATACCCAAATATTCACTTTAGACCTTCTACAGATTTGTCAAGAGTTTTTAGAAATGTAATGTCATACGTCTATGCAAATAATGATTATCAAGGTGGAACATTACTTAATATAAATAATTTCAAAACTTTATTTCCTTTTGTTTATTTTGACCTAACAAAGCAAAAAATGGATATCAAAGATGGAGTTACAAAATTGGCATTTCATTACGAACTATCTAATAATCCAAACGCTGATTATAATATTTACGCGCTAGTCTTACATGAAAGAATAGCAGAAATATCACAACAGGATGGAAAACTATTGTTAAGAGCTTAATATATTAATAATATAAAAAATGGATATTAAATTGTTAGAAAAAAATAATAAAGAAACTAGAAAAAAAACTATATTAAAATTATTACAAAAAAGAATAGATAACTGTATACCCTCTATCTCTTATCTAACAGAATTTCAAATAGATAAATTTTTAAAAAGTTGTCTTGATAGTGTTAAACATAATTCATATAGTATAACTATTAATTATGATAATCAAGATAAACTTATTCCTTTTATATTTCTTCTTACCAAAAAACAAAATAAAGACAACCAAAAAGCAAAGATAAAAAGAACCAAGCATACTATTACTTTTTCTGGTAACCATTTTAAAAAAGCATGTAAACAAACATTAGATTTAAATCAAAAATTAAGTTATATCTTTAATTATAAACTTTTATCTAACTCAAAAAAAAAAAAGGATTTACTTTTAAAATTAAAAAAAAAATAATGATTTTTTATTAGGTGATAAAAAAAATAAAGAAAACACACTTTATAAAATTAATGAAATTAATGAAATAGAAAATAAAATCAAATCTAACATAAATATAGCAATTCCTAATGATTTATCTAAAATTGTTAGTTATGTTAGATTAACACCCAAAATAAAAATACCAATTTTTTATAATAATTTTAGTAATATTGATAATACTCCCAAAAAAAATACAACAAGAAATATACAAATAAAATATGAAACAAGTAATCTTCCTCCAAAAAATGATAAAGACATAACTTCTAAAAAAAAGAAGAGTAAACCTAAACCTAAACCTAAGAAAAGTATATGGGATGTAATTGAATTACCTAAACCACTTGTTATCTAAATATTAAAATAAAATGACTACTTACTTTGAATACGGTGTAAAACTTACAGATGGGCAAAAGTCAAAACTGGCTTCTGCAATATTAAATAAATCACCACTAACTCTTCGATTAAAACACTCTCATCTTCGAGGTTCTGATGAGTTAATGCTAACCCAAAGACAAATTTCTAAAATAAAAAAATCTATTGCAAATGGAACAGGATCAGATATAAAGATAAGTAAAACACAGATTAGACGTTCTGTAAAACATGGAGGAAACTTATTTTCTTCACTCGCATCTCTTGGAGCAAAAGTACTACCTTACCCAATAAAAGGAGTTTCAAAAGTTGTTCCTGCATTGGCAACTGGTGCTGCAACCGCACTTGGAGAAATTGGACTAAATAAAATATTTGGAAAAGGAATTACAATTCCCCCACAATTTTTCCCAATGCTACCACCTATTGTAAGAGAATTTACCAAATCACAAATAAATCAAATTAACAAAGCTTATCAAACAGGTGGGCAATTAGCTATAAAACCAACTCGTAAACAAATAGAAGGAGGATTTCTTGGAACTCTTGCATCTATTGGTATCCCAATGGCAATTAGTTTAGTATCTAAGATGTTTGGATCAGGACTGCAGGTTGATAGACGTGGATCATCTAGTACAGCAAATGTTTACGTTCCACATCCTCCTCCACCAACACATGGTGAAGGTTATCCTTACTACCCTCCACCCTTTATCGGTAAATGGCCCAACCCAATAGGAATGGGAGTTAAAAAAAAAAAACTCCAAAGGCAAGGGACTACTACTAGGAAAAAACAGCCCATTCAACTCAATTCCAATTCTCGGAACCATTTTGTAATTAAACCTCTATCCAACTTTGACCTTTTGGATTGGATAAAAAGACTTGGTATTAAACATTTTAGAGGAATTTACAGTAGGGATGGACTACCTAATAAGATAAAAAAAGAATGTGGAATAATTAATCTAGATGATATAACAGGTCCTGGTACACATTGGGTTTGTTATAGAAATATAGACAATGTAGTTGAGTACTTTGATCCATTTGGACTAATAATGCCAAATGAAGTATTGGAGTATTTTAATACAGCTAAAAAGCGCATAGTTTACTGAACAGATGAAATACAAAATCGCAATACTGTTCTATGTGGTTATTGGTGTTTATATTATCTGTTTGAGAGACAGCGGGGTAGTAGTATTCTTAATGTAATACATAACCCACATTTTGATAATGACAATAGTGATTTCATACAAGAGTATTTTGGAGGATAAAAATAATATTTAATAAATATTATTTTTTTATTCACTATCCGCTGGCGTATCCTTTAGTTGCTTAACTTTCTCAACTTTTTTATTTAAATCTTTAAGACTATCAACTATTTCATCAAAACTACAATAAATATTAATAAGTCGATAAAGTTTATTCTTTTTGTCACTATCTATTACCAACCAAGAATATTCCTCATCTCTGATTTTTCCCCACATCTCACATTCACCAGCCATTAGTATTCTAGAAAGATCATCATTACTCTTTCTAAGAGTTTCAAGCTCATTTACTATTTTTTTTCTTAATTCTTTCTCAAAATCTTTGAGTGTTTTAACATCCATTTTTTTTTCTATCTCAGAAAAGAATTTGGCTTCCATTTGTTATATGAATAGATAAAGTATTTTGGGGAGTATATCGAAAATTAAATATCTTTCTCAATTCTATGTATTACTTTGTAATGTTTATTTAGTGTTTCTTTATTACAAAATGCTTTTGAGCAATATTTACAAGGAATACGAATACCATCCATATACTTATGTAATCTTTTACAAATATAATCATAATCATTACTTAAAATAAATTTGTAACAATTTATTTTATATCTGTCTTTCATCTCTTTTTGTGCATCTGAAATCTCATAGTAATTAGTTGGAGATTTAAATTCTATACAAAGGCCATTATAATCTTTATGGTAATTAAGTATCATAAGGTCTGGTTGACCTCTCAGATATCCCTTTTTCCAACTATTTATTCTTTTCTCTGATGAATCTTGATTTTCCCCAAGTCCTGGTACCATAATAGCATCTGGGTAAAAATTTCTAATTAGGTGAACAACTTTAGAGTGGAGGTCCATCTCATTTTCAATCTTAAACATTTTGTTATTTGGATTGTCAAACATTTTATAATAACCGTATTTTCTTATAGATGGGAGGACTAGTGATGTTACCCAATGTTTAAACTTTTTAGCTGTTTCTAATTTAGAGGATAACAAAAGGGAGTAGAATCCAGATTCATTAATATAAGTGCACATACTACCACTTGGAGCCACCGTCCCCGTTTTGTGGACGCTGGAATAACTTTTAGCCACCGGACCCGTTTTGGGTCCCCTGGGATGGCGAGTAAATATCTGTTGTTTATCCTCACTTTCAACATGATTTAAAACAGCTTTTTTGGTATTACTATACCCAAGAATCTCAGCAACATCCTTTCCGCGAAACCAAACATTTTGCTGTTTGTCAATATAAGAATTTAACTCAATTCCTAAATCTTTATTAGTAAACTTTTTCTCCAACATGTTTGTCATTTATATAATATTTGTATTCTTTAAGTCCTTAATTTATCATATAAATAGATAATTACCTTTTACAACTTTGTTAAGGGTACTTGATTTTTCACTTATTTCCATAAGCAACTCAAATACTTTTATAAATCTAGTGTCATTTTCCAATCTAGCAAAATCAGCATATTCATAACTAATATTTAGGTTGTTATATATCTTTTGAAGTTCACTTTTGACAAAATTAAATCTAGTAGTCATATTTATCTAAACATTATACTAAATGACAGAATCATATTGTATTGTAGATAAAAGAGTAACTCCTTGCACAGAGCCAAGTGGTTACCAAACAGATAAAAGAGGTAGAACTCAATTCTTTTGTAGATGTGCAGTTTGTGGAAACAAAAAAGTTAGATATGTGAAAACTGGAAGTGGAAAAAGAAAAACTAAAAAGAAATCAAAAAACTAATCAGCCCGTCTGAAGGGGCGGGCGTCTTTGATACTGTTGTTGGCACAGCAGTTGATGGTTTTGTTCATTACGGTTTACCTTGGATGGGTAAAAAAGCAGTTGAAATGGGACGATATGGAGCAAGTGAGTTAATGAGAAATAAAAATCTTCAGAAAAAAGCTGTAAATTATGGGATTAGTAAACTCACTCCATTTATTCAAGATTCTGTTGGAACAGCAATGGATGAACTGTCAACCAAAGTTAGACCAAATAAAAAGTATAAAACTGATAGACCAGAGTTGGATGGAAGAGGAATAGATATTCACAAGCAGATTGGTAAATTACCAAAACCAAAAGGTGGATGGACCTTACCGGGGCATAAATATACAGGTCCTTATAACGATCTCGAAAACCAAGTAAGATATTATCCAAAAACTGGTGAAATATTAGAAATTTACGATCAACCAACTGGACCAACTGATGCTGTGGCCATGCAACATGATGTTGATTATAGTGTTTGTGGTGATGACCGAAAGTGTAAAAATAAAGCCGATAGAAAGATGATAAAATCTTTGGATGCAATTCCTTGGAAAGAAAGGCAATGGGGGCATACTTTAGCTAGAACAATAATTAATACTAAACAAAAACTTGGAATGGGATCGAAAAACGTAAATCGGCGTTGAGTAGTGATTGGTCTCAACAATTAGCCGATGAACTTCACAAACCAATCACAAGAAACTTTCAGAAGAGATCAGTTGTTTCAAACGGAATTGATGATATCTGGGCTGCTGATTTAGTTGAAATGCAAAAGTTTAGTAAATGGAATAAAGGGATAAAGTATCTTCTAATGGTTATAGATGTGTTTAGCAAGTATGGTTGGATTAAGGGATTGAAAGATAAAAAAACTGAAACTGTTAGTAAAGCATTCGATGACATATTCAAAAGTAAACGTAAACCTCAAATGTTATGGACTGATAAAGGTTCTGAGTTTATCAGTAAACATTTCAAAGATTTTCTAAAAAGAGATGGAATTAGGTTGTATCACACTGAAAATGAAGAGAAATCTAGTGTTGTTGAGAGATGGAATAAAACAATGAAAAACAGAATGTGGAAAATGTTTACTGTGAATAATAACACTGTTTACTGGGATAAGATAGATAAACTGGTTAATGATTACAATAATACGAGACACTCTAGCATTAAAATGACTCCTGTTGAAGCAAGTAAAAAGAAAAATGAAAATAATGTTAGGTCTAATTTATACGGTGATTTAATTTACTTGAAACCTGGTAAACCAAAATTTGTGGTTGGTGATCGTGTTAGAATTTCTAAGTATAAGAGGCAAATATTTGATAAAGGTTACACACCAAACTGGACAGAGGGGATATTTATAATTGATAAAGTTCTTCCAACAAAACCTATTACGTATAACATTGTTGATTTGATGGGAGAAGAGATTAAGGGTTCTTTTTATGAACAAGAATTACAGAAAGCAAAACAAAAGACATTTAGAATAGAAAAAATAATCAGGAGGGATAATAAAAAGAAAATGGCATTAGTAAAATGGATTGGTTATCCTGATAAATTTAACTCGTGGGTGAGTTTGAAGGATTTGGTTGATTTTTAATACAAAATTTTGTATTAAAAATAGTTATTTACTCATCTTCTTCTTCATCAGATAAAATTAAGTCTTCAACTACTTGATCAGTTATCTCTTCATCCTCCTCTTCAATCGTTAGTAAAGATTCCCTAGGTTTTAATGGTTTGATATAGCACTCATGTACTTTTATTTGTAAAGATGTAACAGTCTTACTTATAAAAATTCCTTCAATTATCAATGCTAATTTAACATTGCAATATTGATTAATATATTTAAAAGGATTTAAATCCTTCTTTCCTTTTGTTTTAAATAATGAAAGAATTTTCTTAGATTTTTCTGAGTAAATAAGTTTTGCGTAAAGAACTGGTGTTGATGAAGGATCAATTCTTGTTTTCTTTTTTCCTTTCTTGTCTGTGTATTCTTCCTGTTTATAGTAAAATGGTGAAGATAGAGATGATGCTAGATCTGGTCCATATTCATTCTCTAAATGTTGATGAGATAGAGTTGTTACATTATTAATAACATCAAAAAATTCTTTTTCTTTACTACTCGGCTCACTATCTTTAGACCAAAGACATACTGGAATACTATAACCAACTAATTTACCTGTTTCTTGATTTTTCTTTTCATTAACACCAAAACTAAAAAGAACTGGAGATTCAACTACAAGTGGTCCTTTTTTGTTATTTGGATATTTGACTTCAATTGGAATACGTTTGTATTTAATCTTGCTATCTTTGACTTTGTACTCTTTGGCTTCATTAAAGATAATATTCTCTTGGGTAATATTTTCGTAA